ACTTATATGCTAAAGATTAAGTTAGCTGTAAAATAACACGCTAGATACTATAGATTTCTTACCCTGAATTATGCACCCTATTCGAGGTCACAATCAAAACATAACTTTCCTTTATGTTTATTTCTTCTTTTTTAAGACTCAACTGACAAAAACTTATAATTTTAAAGAACCTAACAAAACCGTTTATAACATATAGAACCTAATATATTATAGAACCTTATATTATATATAGAACCTAACAAACCTGTAATATAAGCAAAAGCAAGAGATTACTGATAACGCTGTAAAGCATGCATTTATTGTTTTTCGAAAGTTTTTCTTTTCTAATAGAATGAGGATTATGAAGGTTATATAAGTAATCAAAAACGTTTTTATTGGAGAAAAAAAAACTGCAATTAAACGCAAGTATTGAATCAAAGTATTTTCCCCATGGAAATATTTCATTTTTAACAATGCAAATTATTTTCAGTATAATTCATTAAGCATTATAATCATAATTCATCATTCATAAATGGATTTTATGGCATTATGACAAACATGCATGCAAGCAAAGGTACAAATAATTTATTTTGAGATTAAATATATAGTATATGAAAGCTTGAAAAACATTCATTAAGATCTCTCATTTTAGTCGATCTTTGAATACGGCTTTTAGTATCCATAGAAACCAAATGGACCTCTTAGACTATCATTAAATTCAAAGCGAGACCCTAACCTTTGTTGAATGCTTTGAATGCGAATGATTAGTAAATTTCCAAATGATTATTAGGTCAATTCGATATCTCGAAAGTATGTCACCCACTTTCATGGTTTTTTTTAAAGCAAAATCGTCGATACGGACGTGCCTTTCATGATCTTGCTTAGTAAAGGAATTGTAATGGATTCTTAACAAGTATTTTATATAATACTAAGAATTATTATTTTTATTCTTCCAAATATATATATTATATAGATGTTATATATTGTGCATAATTTTTAAATAAAAATTAAGTTAATAAAATAAATAATATACGTATTTGGTATTTAGAATTCTTAAAAAATTGATAATTTGACAGTATTTTAGGAAAATAAAACAATAAAATGTTTATGAATATTTGGGAACTTTCATTAATTATAAAATGCCTGATAGAATAAAAAAAAATTAATGAAACGTTACACGAAAAACAAAACTTTAATGTTTTGAACTACATCAGTTAGATTGGACATTGAAACTGCGTTTTGTTTTCAACCAAACCTCTAAGATGTTACATGAAATAGTGTCGCGTGACTACCTTAGACTCACTACTTTACAGTAAAGTTATTTGAAGAGCTCAAAAAGATCTCTATCCCTTGTAAACATACCATAAAAATGGACATTTTAAGCTACGAGATCAGATACAAAAACGCACTTTCTCTAAACAAGCATATCTTTTCGTCGACGGATTTAGATTTTTGACCATAAGATATAGGGGGCAGCCGCAATATGGGAAATATGGTCAAAACAGTTTGGAGAAAAGAGCTGTCCAACGCAAAATTTGAACCACTTAAAGTAAATTTTAATATCTGTGTATTTTGCTATATCTCGAGAACTTTTTAAGCGAATTGAAGTATTTTTGCACGCAATTATAAAATTCGTTTATCCAAAGGTAATTCCATGCAAAAGAACCAAGTTTTTAATAATTACTTGGTATTTCTTTATTTTATTTTTCATTATTTTTTCAATATTGGTCGAAAAAAGTTTGAATTGTAAGGTATAGTTTCTTATATCTTTTTAAAGAATGTAATTTTAGGTAGGTCAAAAACATAATGTGTACGCATTCGGTTGAATACTTCAGATAAATTGAATTAAAAAAAGTCATATATTTAAAATTTAATTTCTACTCCAAGGGCTTCGTACAAATTTTGTATTTTGCCTTATAAAATTACATTCGTTAAGTAGATGTAAGAAATTATGTACCTTACAGTTCAAAATTTTTTGACTGTTACTAAATAAAATACTAATAAATTATTAGCAAAATTTATCATTTTTGGCATGGAAATATCGATGGACAAATGAATTTTTTAACTTTGTGCAAAAATTTATCATTTTCCTTAAAAAGTTCTCGAGATATAGCAAAGACATTATGGGATTCATACATTGGACCGTTCTCCTGACCAAACTATTTTGACCATAACTTTTAGATTGACGTTATGCCACCTATATTTTGAGTATAAGAAATCCAAATGCATAGAAAAAGGGTATTTTATTCAAAGAAAGTACGGTTTTGTGTTTGCAGAAATTAATTAGCGTATTTGAAGTTACCCCCTCAAACCATTCAGCTAGATTCCTAGTATGTGAAAATTCGATTATTCGATCAAAAGTTTTTAAAAGTGATTTTTTTTTTTGCTAATTTCACACAAATTAGTTATTGTTAGTAATTACAATTGGATATAAAGCAAAAACTTTATTTTCTCTGTTTAAGCATATACCTTCTTTTAAATTTACTTAATTTTTCTTAAATCTTCGTTTTAATTTTATTCTTGTTTTTTAAATTTGAATGTGCTTGTTTATTGCATTATTATTCTTTGTAGTACAATTAGTTTAATTCTTTCCCCGAAAAAAAGGAAGGCGTCATTGTATATACAATTATTCGGTCGATGTTTATTTCACAGAAAACAATACTAAAACATTGCTATAAGAAATCTGATAAAAAGTTCAAAAATTAGGTTTAAGAACAGTACAGAAAACATCTCAAAACTTAACCTTCTTAACCGTGCGAGGTTATTTAACACATAAAAATTAACAACTATACTACATAAATATTTAAATTTTTTTTTTCATACATAGCATCTTTAAAGTAAAGTTTGCAACTTTTTCGGAAGAATTTGAAAGCTTTGAGTTACTGGTTTTAAATTGTTATATGCAATTAAAAAAAGCTTAGGCTCGATGCTGTATTTACTTGTAACTACTAGTAAATCATTTACTAACTAGGGTCAACTAAACTCTGCTCGCTATCGCTCGCCGAGACTAAAGGAAATCGACAGATATGTCAGTCATGGTATTAGGTAAATCGGTTAAGAGTATAGACTAGGTTGCCCCCATGAAATTGGCACTGTAACTTGGAGCATTTATTGTATATGAAATTTTCCATTTTTCTGTTATTTTTATCTCGACTCCTAATTATTAAAAAATATCACACTTGATTCATTTTTTCTGTTTTCTGCAAGATTGCCTGAATAAGAGAGTCACACACTATTGTAAAATTTTACTTGTAAATCATCTATTGAAGCATCTATCTTTTTTGGAGCCTCATGCATAAGTTATCTTCGTATGAGTTGAGCATAAGTTATCTAACAATAATATGCTGTTAACATGAATATATTGTCAATCACAATGGCACAATGTCAATCAAAATTTGAGTTGTGAAGGCTCAGGGAATAGAGCGTTCGCCTTTCAATGAGGTGAACTGGGTTTGAATCCCTGCAATGACTGGTCGATATGAATTCCGCATCCGACTTGCGCCGAGCACAGTACTGACGTGAAATATCCTCTGTGGTAAACTGATCATGGGCTAGATTCCCCTTTTCGTCAGGCTAGCTGAGGGAGGTTCTCGTTGTCTTCCTCTCCATGTAACGCATATGCTGGTTAGTTCCATCAAAAAGACCTCCAAGAAGGCAAATTTCTCCCAATACTTGTTTGTTTATGCATTTTATTGTAACCGTGATATATTTTTGTTTCGTGCACCTGGCAACTTCGATGCATATTAAATTTGATTATGTTCTTCGTGGCTTCCTGATTGTATTGTGTTAAGTAAGTAATATATAGTGAAAGAATTGTAATTTTGGTGAAAGAATATAGAATGAGTCATTAAAGAGAATTGATACTTGACGAACTTGGCTTACCCGAAATAGAATGGAAAGAACAGTTGCAAACGTAAACAAATGCCACGTTTTAAGAACCAATCAGGATCGAGATACCTACATTACGTCATTTGCAGGTATCCCATTGAAATTATCAATTTGATGCTGATGATTAGCACTCATTATTTATTCTCTCATACACTTATTTTTTCATCGTAAACGCTGCTAGTTGAGTTTTCGGAAAATTGGCAAATGCAATATCGCCAATCGACTAATTATTTCAATTATGTTAAAATGAATACTGTGCGTATTTTATTATCTCCATTTTAATTGATGCTTGTTAATTACAATTTTACTCACATTAAAGTTAAAATTTTTACAAATATTTTGATACTTTTATCCAACGAGATGAAAAAACAACTAAAATTAGGTTAACCCTGTGAGATCTGTGAGCTTCATTCGTTGGACCGACCGTGACTGTGTAACAAATATTTTATGAATCATTTGAATTTTTTTTTCATTTTTTATTCAAGCATTTGATTATCGTTGCCAATTTGGAGAAACAAATTCCACCCTTTTCTGGGAAAACGTTATTCTTTTATGTGTTTACAGAAAATTAATATTTTTAAAAATAATTTAATAAATAATGAAAAAAGTATTATTTATTTATTCATTATTATTCAACAAATTGCAAAAAAAGCTTTTAGCCTACAATAGTTTTCTTAAGTTTCCCTCGATTTACACCTAAAGCAAAAATTTTCGTGAACAAAATCATTAACATTTTTGTATAAAATGCTTTCTTAAGTTACATTTTAATCGGAAATTGAACAAAAAGTAATTTACAGCTTTTCTTACAAATTTATTATTGTTTTATCGTTTTGAAATTAATGATCTGAGGTCTAATAGCTGTTTGTTTGAACGTATAATGTAGGGCACTGGGGCTCACGCACATTAATCTGACGGTCCATCATCAGTAAAATAAATTTTGCTGTTCGTGATCTTTCCACATTTTGCGAAAAAGAATTACTTCATAACAACAGACGATAATAAAAACACATTGCAGCTGTCAGAGCGCCCTCTGTGGTTAGAAACAATTTATACAATAAATTTTTTTAAAAAACGTAGGTTGCCGTTGGAAACGGGAAAACATTAACTGAGTGTGAATTTGCAAGCCCACTCGTCAAACTAAGATGAACCCGCTCAAACGGAAAAAGGCAAATGTTCGAATGGTTAGTGACTCATATCTCGTGGAAAACATAGAACGCCTGCTATGCTATAGCTCATATGTTTTCAAGTAGTTAGCAGGTAAATTTTCATCGTATTCTTTTAATTTAATTATTTTGTTAAAAGTTCAAATTTATGTAAAAAAAATAATGAAACTGTACTATATTATGATTTTTTTAGAACAAATTGCTTCATTATAAGTTTATAAATAACAATAAATTTATGATATTTTTTAAAGTGCTATTTAAAAAAGTTCAAAATTGAAAATGTAGCATGAATAATTTTAAAAATTATATTATTTTTTATTTAAATCACAAATGTTCAAGGGCTAAATAAAGCATTTATGGATTAATATCTTTAGATATTCTTGCAATATATATGAAAGACCATAGGGAATTGTAAACTGCAATATATTAAAATTTCTAGAAAAACTGGTGTATTTTTATTTTATGAATAACAAGTAACATATGATATTATTCATTAAAATGGTAGTTTGAAAAAGCTAGAAATGTAATTCATGGCATAAATTATTTTAAAAACAGCATTGTTTCATTGCTTTCTATTCAAATAAGTTTTCAAAGGCTGTACAATATATTTGGATGGTATTAAAATATATTTAAAGGCCTGGAACAACATAGTTCTAGTCTATAATTTTTCAAAAAATATTTAACATTGAACTGTTCTTTTGTCCAAATAGAAACATCTATATTTGATTTGGAAATCGGTATATTTATTTTTAAAAGCGGGCTTATCATTACAATGCTCCTAGTGTTTCATTTATACAGGATAAAGTGTGTGATGAGTACAGTGCAAAAAAATTCGAATAATCACTCTGTACAGAACAAAACAAAAAATGGACCACTTTGAATCAATAATAATTTAATAATCAGATCTTCATATTTCAGAACTCAATCTTAATGATTTGAGGGGATGACCACAAATATGCTAATTAATTAGTTGCAGACGATACTTTAAATTGCGAAATCAGACACAAAAACGTACTTTTTCTGAATAAGCCCATACCTTTTCATCGACGGATTCAAATTCCTGACCCCCTAGATTTGGGGGTAGCCGTGGGGGTAGCCGAGAAATATGGTCCCAATAGTTTGGTCAGGAGAGCGCTCTAAACTTTTGACCGTTTAATGTCAATTTTACTTTTTGCTCATTCCGCTATATCTCGTAAACTTCTTAAGCGAATTGAAAAAATTCTGTACACAATTCTAAAATTCGTTTATCCAAAGATAATTCCATGCAAAAAATAACTTTTGCTGAATATTTATTATTTTTTATTATTTTATTTAATAATATTCGAAATTTTTTTTTAATTTGGAATGATTTGTGTTACTTATAGGTATTACGAGATATGCGTGTATATTATAACTTTTAAATGATAATTTTCTTATACTATATCATGTAATAGATTAACTTACGTCTAACAGATAGATAATTCAACTTTAAACTGAAATTCCGCGAAGAAATTGAGCAATATTTTAATTTTTAATTCTTTTTTGTGGAATAATTTTTATTTTTTACTACAAGACATATTTAAATTGAAGGAAAAACTTTACAACTTTTGTTTTTCGGCTTAATAATATATATTTATTTTATTTTTTTAAAAATTATTTTATTTTATTTTATTTTAATAATTTTTTCCCTTGTAGGTTGAAAATTACGAAGTTAATGATATTTCCATGAATTAGTTACATTAAAAAAAGCTCTTAAAATGTAATGAAAAAGTTAACTTACTTGTTTGAGAGAGTAAAAAATCAATAAAATTATTTATACGTCCTTATCATTTTTCAAAATTTGTTTTAAATTGAACAGAAGGAAAGAAAGAAAGTTATAATTTTTTAAAATAACAAGGCAGTAGACCTGAAAATTTAAGTTTTCAGTTAGTAGCCAGTGGCCGGTAGACTCTAATAACTTAGTAGCCACTTTTTTCTCAAACCTAAAGAGTCAGTGACCAATATCGATAGTTCCTCTTCCTTTTATGACCACTTTTCACAAACTTTCTTTTGCTTGAGTTAAATTATAAATCCAAAAGAAAAAAATCATATTAGAAACAATCTACGGCTTTAAAAAATTAATTTAACCTTAAAAATAATATAAATATGTGTCAAAATTGAGTGAAACATACTGATTTTAAAGAATTTTATTTAAACATATTTAAGGGTGGCAAAATACATTTAATATACACATCACAACTTTGAAGTATGAGAATTGTTAAAAAAAAATCTCTCCTTCTACATGAATCATTCCACCACATGATGGATTCTAAAAAATTAGAAAAGAACGTTTTTTAAGAAAATGTGTTCATTAATTTTTTAAAGATATGAAATCTCACTCAATAAAGATAAAGTAAAACATATGTTAGTTTCCATCAAAAACTTGAACTGGAAAATAAGTAAATTGGACTCCAGACAATCCACTTATTTGATTTTTCTCTGCATACTAAGTGCTTAAGTAAGAAAACAACTTTTACAGAGATAACTGTTTCATTACTGTTTACGAAACTTGCGGAGGAAACCGGAAACCGTGTTTTTTCCATTATTTTAATCGTTTTATTAATCTGCTTTATTATTTTTTACAAAATATTTGTCTAGCATAAAGTATGCAATTATAACACGTATTCGGAAGTCTATTATAATTTCAACTATTAGATTATTTTTCTGCCGAACCGCAGAGGCAAAAGCAAATAGGCAGTAGGCAAAATCCTACAAATGACAGTTTTTGAGATTTCTAAGGATTACTAAACTTTAACTTATTAGCTTCTCAACTATATTATGTATGATTCTTTGCATATATGATGCTCTTTTTTTATTTATTTTTGAAATAAAATGCATATGTCATGCTATTATGATAAAATATTATTTAAAATAAGGAAGGTAGACGCGTAATGACAATGTGAACTTGATAAATTTACGAAACTACCATAATTGCGACTAAAAACTGATTAAACAAAATGTAGGAGGTAATTTTATATTTTTATTTCAAAAAATGCAACGAACAAATTAGCTGCTCTTTTTTCAATAAAATATTATCATTAATATAATTTTATATGATGAATTTGGTTCACAACTTTTAAGAACTAGAATAAAAAACTAACATCTGTTCTGAGAACTGTTAGAAAGTTAAGGAATCAAATTTTATGTATGATAGTTTACACATGGGATTCTTATTTATATTTATCTTTAAAATATAATTTTAATGTCATCTTAGTTTAACAAGAAAAAATATCACGGAAAATAGTTATTAAGCTTCGTATCAAATCAATAAAACACATTCATCTTTATGCAGCAACTATTTTTCTTCCTTTTTATCGAAAAAATTATTTTTCATCTGGTGCCACTCAGCTACTTTTCGTCCAAAAAATATTTTCTGGTCTTTTTGGATGTAAAGAGATTTTTAATTACTATTTACTATATGTTCGATTACTTTTCAAAGTCATTTACATCGATATTATTTCCGGCATTATATGCGTCAATAATAATTACGTCAATAATAATTTTCCTGACGAAGACAAAGAGCTATTATATTAATTTAATGTTAATCACAGGTACCAAATTAATATCTAAGTATTCAAGTATGTAACGATTTTTAAAACTAATTGAGGGGATGAAATAATAATACAATTCGTTGTATGAACTCGATTTTGGACACATGCCAATGAAGTGCAGCTTAAACCATTAAACGTCTATTGTAGCTTGATACATATTTATAGCTTATAATAGTAAAACAGCTGAAAAGGTTAAGGTCATAATAAAGATAGTCTGCAAACCAACTTTTGCTTTTTTATTTCCCTTTGATTGTTGTTCAAATTCCACTCCTTAAATGGGCTATGTTAAGAGTTGTTCATCAAACTGCAAGATTCATTGCAAAAAATAAGATATAATAAAAAAAGTATGTTGTAATTTTTTCTCTAGCTATATAGTTACATAAATTGAAATTTTAACAAAGAAAGAAAAAATGATAATCTTAGGCAAATCTGAACAGATTACAGATGAACAATTGCATAAATTGAAGAATATATATTTATAATTTTAAACATTAAACTTTCTGGGTTATAAATCTAGATAAATTCTCTAAGGAGCTATAAAAAAAAATCAGAATAAATTACCTATTTTACTTTCAGCGAATGAACTTAGTTTTACAAATTTTTCATGATGCAAATTTAGTTATAAATTTGTATCACATAAAATTAGTTACAAATTTTATGTGATACTCTGTTTCCTTAAAATAAAATTGCAAAAATTACTTCTAAACAACTCTTTGATTTCTAAATATTAGGAGTTAAAATTTTCGATGCAAGAATTCAAAATTCTTTTTAAAGAAGAATATCTCTTCAGAATAACTAATATTTTGAATATGCGAGATTATGTTTTTGATTGCTTGATTCGTGATTTTCTTCTGAAACCAGATATATAATACAACATTTAAAAACAAAATGATCATATTTCATTTAAAAATTGATTTAATCTTTATGCAGTAAAAAAGTATAATATAACAGTAACAGCAAAGGAAAAATAGCAGGCTATGAGCTATTTTTCAAACAAAGGTTAAGTTTTAAATAACACTCTTCTAATACCCTTACGATAAATAAAGAATACCATTCTTTCTTACGCTTAGCGTGACATGCATTACAGTAGACGTTGGTCACACTACACCGAAATGGCTCAAGCTCTGAACGTGACCTATTTCTTGGAAAATCCAAGGCTGAGATTAAGGAGGAATTAATAAGTGACTTTCTGAAGAAGGCTGGTCAGTTGCCAAGAGCACGAAACAGCATTATTTCCCCCAATTCAGATCATACAAAGGATTTTTTTTTATAGAACTAATATAATATAAAGTGTTCGATAGTGGAGATAAAAGTGTCACTTTACTGTCATTTTACTGTCAAGTATAAAGTTTTTATAAGGTTATTTCGAAGAAAGACACCTGTTATAGTTTTTTTCCGGCAATATATATTTCTTTATAAAGATTAATAGTCAAAGTAAAATATATGTCACCAGTGTAAAATGGATATGATCTTTATTTCTTCTAAGTCTTAATTTTTAACTTTATTTTGAGATAAATTCAGAAAA